AAAAAAAAATGGAATGTATAATTAGTGAGCTAGATTGGTATCAATAATTTTGAATCAGACAATCATATGGTTTACTATGCCAAGAATGACAAATTCAAGGGGATTCATGTCATATTTTAAGATCTATCTTGATATGCACCCACATGAAAGAAACCTGGAAGAGACAGGTGCTGTAGTAACGTGTGGTGAAGAAATTGGATGGTGCCTAGGTTATCAGAAACAATTTTGTCTGAGGTCTTAAAGTTGCGTTTTCAAAGGAGCAGCTATCTAAGTGAGATATCACTAAACCCATATGGAAGAAGCACACCAACATCTGTTATCCAAGGCCTGGAATAGATATAATCCAGAGCTGAAAGAGGTTAATGGCAACGGAGCTTAAATTGTGAAATTCTGTTTGAAGAAAGCTATGGATGACAGTGGGAGCCCAGTACGTTCACGGGATTTACTCATGGAATAAGCCTCTGGTCATTCCCCTCTGACCATAAATGAGGGAAGGGAATAACCTGATTATCAGGCAGAGGATCTTGGAGAGATGTTTATAGTAAATTAAAATCGTAAATCTGACTTGAGTGGTTAAAACCTTGTACAAGAAGGAATAAAATGTCTTGAAAATGATTGTGGTGGTGATTGTACAATCCTGCTTGGTATGAGTGAACTATGGAATTATATGATGTCTGGTTTATGTCCTAATGAAATGATTTGGGGCGGGGGGAGGGGGAGATCTTGAAATACAATGCTGTCTGAGATAGAATAATATCTATACAGCTAAAAGGAAGAACAGTTAATGCAACTATCATTCAAAGTTATGCACCAACTTTGAATGCACTTGCACCAGAAATCAAGAAAATTGGATAATTCTACCAACTTCTTCATTCTGAAGTTCTTCAAGCTTGTAATCAAGATGCAATAATAATTACTGGTGATTGAAATATGAAAATGTGAAGCAAAGAAGAAGGATCAGTAATTTAAAATAGGGTCTTAGTGATAGAAACAAAGCCGGTGATCACACGACAGGCTTGGACAAGACCAAGTCCCTCAGTTGCAAATGCCTTTTGTTCAACCCCACAAGATAGCAGACACGAGGATCAAATTGATTATATCTGTGGAAAAAGAAAATGGAGATGCTCCATATCATCAGCCAAAAAAAGATGGTTTCAATTGCTTATATGCAAGTTCAGATTGAAGTTGAAGAAAATGAAAACAACTCCAAGGGCCATCAAGCAACCTTGAGTATATCCCACATGAATTTCCAGAATATCCCAAGAATAAATTTGACATGTTGAACACTAATGACAGAAGACTGGACAAGCTGTGGGATGGTATCAGTAACATCATACATGAAGAAAGCAAAAGGTCACTACAAAGTCAGGAAATAAAAACCAAAGTATTTATCAGAAAAGTCTCTGAAACTTGCTCTTGAATGTAGAATTGATAAGGTGAATGGAAGAAATGATAAGTAAAATAGATGAACAGAAAAGAACATTTCAAAAGCTCAAGAAGACAAAGTATTACAATGGAATATGTGAAGACCTGAAATTAAAAAACTAAAAAGGAAGAGCATTTTTAATATATCTTAGGCTGGAAGCAGGGGTGGGGGGTGGGGTGGGGGTGAGGACCAACCCTTGAATGGCAATCTTGAAGGATTCTATGGGCATAATGTTGAACTATGCAGGAAGCATCAAAAGGAGATGGAAGGAATCCACAGAGTCACTATGCCAAAAGTAACTGGTCATCATTCAAGAATTCTGAATGTGACCCAGAAGCAATAATATGGAAGGAAGGTGTCCAAATTGCTGAAGGCATTAGTGAAAAAATAAGGATCCAGGAATTGATGGAATACTAATCGAAATGTTTTGTAAAAATGGATGCAGTGCTAGAAGCACTCATTAATCTATGCCAAGGAAATGGAAAATTGCTACCTGGTCAAACAACTGGAGAGATCTATATTTGTGCTCATTCCAAAGAAAAGTGGCCCAAGAAAATGCAGAAATTATCCAACAATATCATTTATATCAAATGCAAATCAAAGTTTTGCTAAAGATAATTCAAAATTATTGCAGCCATACATGGACAGGAAGCTGCTAGAAATTCCACCTGAATTGAGAAAAAGATGTGGAATAACAGCATTACTGATGTTAGATGGATCTCCATTGAAAGTAGAGAATTCCAGAAAGAAGTTTCTTGTGTTTTATTGACTATATAACATTTCAAAGAATAAGAATTCCAGAACACTTTAATTGTGCTCATGTGGAATTTGTGCATAGATCAAGGACAGTCAGCTGAACAAAATAATGGATACTGGCTGGCTGAAAATCAGGAAAGGTGTGTCAAGGTTGTATTTTTCCACATTACTTGTTCAATCTGTCTGATGAACAAATAAACTGAGTAACTGGATTATATCGAGAACAGCGTGGCCTCCAACTTGGACGAAAACTCATGAACAACCTGTGCTATGCAGTTGACATAACCTTGTTTGTTGAAGCCAATAGGGCCTGAAGTACTGATTGATGAAGATCAAAGGACACAGCCTTCAGTATGGGTGACAACTTAATGACAAGAAAATTAGAATCTTCACAACCAGAATTGGAGAAAAGATTGAAGCAGCAAAGATTTCATTTTGCTTAGAGCCATAATCAACACTCCTGGAAGCAGCAATCAAGAAACCAAAGGACATACTCCTATTACATTTAGCAAATCTACTGCAAAATACCTCTTTCAAGTTTAAGGAGCAAAGATGTCACTTTGAGAACTGAAGGGCCCTTGATAAAGCCATAGTGTTTTCAATACCTCATAGGCCTGTGGAGCTGCACAAGAATAAGGAAGACCAGGGAAGAACTGGCGTCTTTGAGTTGTGGTGTTGGTGAAGAACACTGAAAGTACTAGGCACCGCCAGGAGACAAACAAATCTGTCTTGGGGGAAGTACAGTCAGAACGCTCCGCAGAAGTGAAGATGGAGAGGTTTCATCTCAGGGATTTCAACAGTATTATCGAGAGAGGCCAGTTCCCGGAGAGGGCCGTCATGCTTGGTCATAAATTAGAGGGTCAGCCAAAAAAGAAGACCCTCAAGGAGATGAATTGACACAGTGCCTACACCACTGGGCTCAAGTAGAACAAATATGAGGATGACCGTGCTCAATTCTGTTCGCCATAGGGTTGCTATGAGTTGGAATCCACTTGAAGGTACTTAGCAAAGCAAGCCAAGAATGTATCTAGAATATATGCATAGACAGTCAATATATCCCAAAAAAGTCAAGCTCTCCCTTACTGCATGTGTCCACTGAGATTGTCAAAGGAAATAAATGACACTCAATGTGGGGATTTGAGGAAGGTTAAATTTTTTTTAAGTTGTCAAAATTGTATCAGGGTTTAGAAAAAAACCAAAATGAAGCAAATAACTAATAGCCATCTTACCAGTTTTAATGGACTTTGGAGGGAGGGCTAAAAAACCTGGAAAGAGAGAACCATGGGGCAAGGTCTTCAAATAGGAGCTGTGGCATTAGAAAGAACATGCAGTCTTCATGAGGCAGCCTGGTACAAAGAGCCTGGGGAATGTAGTACCCTGAACTCTGTCTCCTCCAAACCTCCGTATCTTCCGCCATAGCCTTCTATTAGCTAAATCCAACAGGAAACCATGTGGATCCGCTTGCTGGGACACAGAGGAAGCGGGGAAATGGGATTAATGAGAATCCGGAGAGGCAAAAGGAAGATGTGCAACATACCTGAGTACGTCAATTCAATGCCCTTGACACTGAACATTCACATGTTCCGATGCTTCCTGTTACATAAATAGCTAAGATTTAAGATGTTAGCCCTGGTGGCTTAGGGGTTACTGGTTGGGCTGCGATCCAGATGGTCACAATTTGAAACCACCAGCTGCTCCTCCAGAGAAAGACTGGGCTTTCTACTCCCATAAACAGTTACAGTCTCAGAAACCCACAGGGGTCACTCTGAGTCAGCAGTGACTATGAGTCAGCATTGATGGCACCGAGTTTGGGTTTTTATTTGGTTGGTTGGTTTAGTTGGTTTATATTGTAATGAGAAGGCTGGGTCATGTCTCAATGACAGTTAATTTTGTAGTCATATTGGCTTGTCTTCCAAATGAATGCTTTCTTGCCCCAGAAATAAAAATAATATCAAGAGTAAAATTTGATGAAGCTCATCAACAATGATTGCAGCAATACATTGGTTGCAGAATACATCCACCGGAAGTATAGGTCGGATTCAGAAGAGGATATGTAACAAGAGATCTTGCTGATGTCAATGATATCATTGATGATGGATCTTGACTCAAAGCAGAGAATACTAGAAAGATGTTCACTTGTGTTTTATTGACTGTACCAAGGCATCTGACTGTGTGTATCATAGCAAACTGTAGATAGTCTTGAGAAGAATGGAATTCCAGAACACTTCATTGTGCTCATGCTGACCTTATACATGGATCAGGAAGCAGTTATGCAAACTGAACAAGGGAATGGTTTAAAATCAGGAAAACTGTGCATCAGGGTTGTGTCCTCTCACTACAGTTACTCAAGCTGGATTCTGTGAAGGAGAATATAGGATCAGGATTTGAGGAAAGCTTAATAACAACCTGTGATATGCAGATGGCATAACCTTGCTTGCTGAAAGTGAGGAGGACTTGAAGCACTTGCTGATGAAGATCAAGGATTGCAGCCTTCAGTGCGGATGACAACTCAATGCAAAGAAAGCCCAAATCCTCACAACTGAATCAATAAGTAACATCATGATTAATGAAGAAAGATTGAAATTCTCAAGGATTTTGTCTTGTTTGTCTGGCACTTAAAATATAGCTAGTAGGATTATAACTAGTTTAAAATATAGCTGGTAGGAATTTAAACACTATTTTGGATATATTAAATCAAGGAAATTAAATCATTGAGATCAGTTCCACCTGTCTTTTCCGTGTTTAGAATGTGGACACCACAGGAGTTTGAGTTATGAACAGTGCTGAATAATCGCTTAAGAAATGTGTCAGTGGTCTTTATGGGATGGTGATGAGGCTTGGCTTTCCATTTCAGGTCTTTAATCCCTTGAGGTTCTCTCCAGAGAATTCTGATCAGAGACATCCTTATGCTTTCTTACCATTCTCAGCTGGACCAAGGTGAGGGCAATTTGAAATGGTGAAAATACACCAAAATGTTTGCTTCCTTTAGATTCTCAGCTCTGTATAACCTTCTTTAGAGCCTCATCTCCCCCTCTGTGGATCTTGGTACCCATATGAGCTCCTGAAAAATCCATTTAGTTTCTCAGGGAACATAGTCACATTCTACCTAGCCATTCTTCAGCTAGCTGTCTTATAATACAAGCCCTTGGTGGCTTTTTGGCTCCTTGTGGTCCACTCTAACTGCAGGGAAAAAAACGGTCTAGTCAGACCCCCCACTGCCACCTTGTCACAAAAAGGACATCACATTAGAGTCTCCCGGTTCACATTATTGTAGGGAGTAATGTAACTCTCACAGTGTCAATGATATTTCCTGTAAAGATGTTGCTTTGCCATGTATCCTAGACATCTTTTTTCCAGGATGGGGGCTTCCAACGTGGATCTAGTTAAAGCCTTGGGAAGCATTTAAATGGAGATGCCTCTTTTCAGGTGCCGGTTTCTTTTTCTGTTACCTGCAGGAACTGCATCGGGCAGAAGTTTGCCATGATTCAGTTAAAGGTGTCCATGGCCTTGATCCTGCTTCGCTTCGAGGTGACGCCAGACCCCACCAGGCCTCCCATTTTATCACCCCAGATTGTCCTCAGATCAAAGAATGGCATCCACTTGTTTGTGAAGAAAATACCCTAATGTTAGACCTCATGGTGCAATGGTTAAATATATGTTGTTTTTAAGTGAAATGACAGCTAACGGTCTAAGCCCTTGAAGAGGAATCCAGGTATGCTGGAGGAGCAAGGTGGGGTAAGGTGGGGATCTCTGTGGAGCTTCAGATCATCCAACACTTCAGTGACAGGGAGTCACTTAGAACTATTTCTGCATGACGTTGAGAGATTTCCAGGCCTTTCTCTCTGGTCTGCCTATAGTTAGTGCTGCATACGAAAGCCTTCCTAGATGACTTCTATATGGTTTCATTGTTTATTAAAATATACTTTTCAGAATTGCACAAGTCATATGTGAATGTATGCACAATATAAAAAACATTCTAGCACTAGAAAAGCATGTAAAATAAAATTCTCACTTCATACAGCTTGGACCCTCTGCCCTCCTTCTGTCTTTCCTAAAGACCCAGTAATTTGGTATGAATTCTCTCAGACTTTTTTCTATGTGTTTTAAATTATTTATGTGTGTATTCTTTAGATGGGATCATATCCATGTGATCATTCCCATAATGTTCTTGCTTTTTCAGTTAATAAAATTTCTCCTCTTTCCTTACCATAGCTTGGTAATATTTTATGATGTGAAAGCAATATGAATGACTTAGATGTTCTCCTGCCACTGAAAGGCCCTTGGTGGGACAGTGGGGGAAGCATCGGGCTGCCAGCACACAGCTGGCAATCAAAACCACCGGCTGCTCTGGAAGAGCGAGACAAAGCAATCCCATAAAGGTTACAGTCTCAGAAACCCATGATTATTTAAGTGCTTTTTTGTCGTGTTTTTTTTAACTTGCTTATTGCTCATTTGTTTTTATCTTTGTTTTGTTTGTGTGTGATTTCTCTGTACATCAATTGTGTTGCTTTGCAAAGGTTGTCATCTTTTATTGATTCAGATGAGAATCTTTATGCCCTGTAGATAATAATCTCTTGATTTAATTTTCCCATTCTTTTATTTTAAAAAAAACCAAACTGTATTAAGAGTACCTTTTGCCACACAGAAGTTTTGTTTTGAATTTTCATGAAGTAAGATATACAAACTTTTATTTATGGCTTTTCAGTTTCAGTCTTGCATAAGAAAATCTTCCTTTGTAATTTTATAAAGATATTATACATATTTCCCTGGTGTTAACAACTTTGTGGAACTTGAGAAGGATTTTCTGAATGGTTTTCAGATTAATCATCCATTTGATATTTCTGTGCCTACGACATGTCAGATGAAGAGCCTCGGTAGTGCAGGAGTTTAACGTTCACTGCTGACGGAAAGCAATGTCAGCAGTTATCTTCAGCCGTCAGTGTGGATTACAGCTCTCTGCCTGCTTTGGGCCTCAGGGCTACGCTGGCTTCAGAAAATGAGCTTGCAAACCTGCTCTCCTTTTCTAGGTCTGGAATAATGTACGTAGAATTTGAAGACACTCACTCTTATTTCTGTGCAAGTGGGAACATACACTAGAGCTGGTTGTTTTAAATACGACTGAATTATGGAAATGTAAGATATGTACATTTTATCACACTAAAAATATTGGGGGAAATAAAAATAAACAAGTAAATAAAAAGTTTGTGCAAGGACCAATAAAATAAGGAAAAATTCTCCTTACAGGAGGAAATCAAAACAATACAAAGTACTTATTTATATTTTCATCCATATAATGGACTGCTATGTGAGCAATAAAAGGATGAATTAAGTTACTACATTGACTTGGAGAAATGTTCAAGTTGTGCTGTTAAATGAGAAAAGTCAACGCAATATCTTTGTGGGTCATCTCTGAGTACTTGGATTTTTAGTGATTTTTATTTCTCAATATTTATTCTAATTTTTAATGTGAAGAAATATTTATATAATCTTCAAGATACTTAAATTTCATTTTCAAAAACAAGGACACTTTAGAGGTAGTTTGGAGAGATCTGCTCTAATCCTTGAAGACACAGGTTGGACACATGCTGGAGACTGGTTAAAGATTTATAGCATAAAATGTTTTCTCATTTCCAACGCCTCACCGGGAAATCAGAAGTTCTAGTTGTATTGTGAACATAAAAATAATAGAGCCTCAGGTTTCTGCCTTCAAAAACAGGGTCTCGGACTTTCCCTGCCTTAGAGACGATGCTTTCTCTTTCACACAGATTTGGGGGTAGCTTTTGTTTCTGTTGTTGTTTTTGTTTTTTGGATCCCATTTTGTTTCCCTAGACAGAGAAGACATTTTTCCAAGGTTAACGAGCAGGAATAAAGATGTTTTTCACTTCTGAAAAATTAGCCACTGAACAATTGATGAATGGCAGCAGAACATTATCAGATATAGAAACAGAAGATGAGCCCCTCAGATGGGCAGACACTCAAAATACAACTGAGGAAGAGCTGCCTCCTCAAAGTGGCAAAGTGGCGTTGACCATATGACGTGGATGGAGTAGTGCATTCAGTAATGCAATCTTCACTGGCCAGTAGGTGGCTGTTGTTGCCGCTGTTGTTGTTAGGTACCATTGAGTCAGTTCTGACTCATAGTGACCCTATGCACAACAGAATGAAACACTGTTTTCATGCCAATGGGGAACAATTCAAAATGAGAAGAAATAGCTGCAGATAGCCATCAATAATTGGAATGTAGAATGTCTGACATGGATCTAGGAAAATTGGAAGTCATCAAAAATTAAATGGAATGCATAAAGATTAATATTCTAGGAGCTGAAATGGACTGATATTAGCCATTTTGAGTCTGATCATTTTTATAGGATTTTTTGGTCGGGCCTTTTTGTCACACACTATTATGTAATCCTTTCATAACCTCTGAATATAAAGCTTGATTAACAATCTGACCTGGTGGAAAGAACTCCAAATGCACTATGAGTCGAGATTTTCATCTATTTGGGAAGTTGACAGACTTCCAGAATGAGGTTTGTCATCAGTTGACATTTCACCTTTTTTATAAACACTCCCACAATAGTGTCTCCATAATTTCAATGGAAATTCATGACCAGAAAAGGGAGAGGTATGTCTGTCTTTGAGAAGGTGATTCCACTTCTGTTGACAAGTAAAACAAGGAGAGACAGACTGGTCTTGGGGAAAATGCTTACCATTACTTATGTGGGCTCCCAATGGGAGAATCCACCCAGTTTTATTTTGCTAATCATGCATTTGACTTGCAAATCAAAGTTTCTTTGTTAATCAAGTTTCTTTCCAGTCCTTAGGGACCCTAGTTGCGTGCTATAGGATACCTGAATTTTAGATTTTGTTTTTTTGAGAGGTACAGCATTCTTCATAGACCACATCAGGATGATGTGACACGGAAACCCCACTAAGGGAACCAGCTTTATCTTACACACACCTGTTGTAGATGAAAGCAATGGAACTGTTCCTTTGGACTTAAAGATGAAACACCCTCGTGTGCAAAGAAGCAGAAGACTGCTATCCCAAGGTCACGGGTTTGGACGTCAGTGGACTTTGGTTCAAATCTCTTGCTTTTGAGGTTGCCCAAGAACTGACAACATAAGCCTACCATATACTTGCTAGTTTCATACTTTCTCTGCTGTGGGAGGCATGTCTTAGTCCTGCAGATATAGTTTAGTCTTAGTGATTGAGTGTTACTGCCATTTTTGTCTTTTGTCTGGCTCTCATTGCGTTCCTAAACAATGTTCAATTGGCCTCCTACTTCGTTCTTCTTTCTTAGCACTGCTTTGCTCACCTGGGGTCTCTTTTTTTCCATATAAAGTTAATGATTAATTTTCCCATCACTTTGAAAAATGATGTTAAAACTTAGATC